GCTTGCCATACTTGCGCTCAGCTAATATACACGATAAACAATTCTTTATCTTTTCAATTTTTTTCTCGCATATAACTAAATCAAAATTCTCTTTTTAACATGCGCTCGCAGAAAAATGCCCTTTTTCATGTGTTTGCTTAATTACATCATGTTGCATAGACTTAGGTACAACTAATAACAAATGGTCGTTATATTTTCGATAAAGTAGTCCATTTTGTAACGTAACATTATCACTTCCATTACGCTATTTTCTCAAAAGTAGGCTTTAACTCATCATCTTCACGCTGCGCTCCAGAAATTTGCACTACAAGACTCGAACGGTTTCCTTCGATTGTCATAATTAAAGGTAAATTTTTATGTGGTGCATCAACTTGTCGGATCTGTGTTCAATAACATAATTAAACTTCCCAAATAATAACGCTCATCGCGCAACGTGTACACACAAATCTCTTTTATTCATTGTTAAAGAAAAGGCACGGCAGTCTGTAATAATCTTAAATGCTAGAAAGTATACACGAAATTTTCGCAACGATTTTATGATAGCTAATACCTCCAACTCATAATTAAATTTTGTTTCGGCTTCTGTCGTTTTTCAGCTGGCGTAATAAATTGGATGAAACTTTTGATCATCTCTTTGTAACAATATAGCGCCAAATCCCAACTTAGATTCATCGGTACAGAGTTCGGTATCGACTTCTGTATAATTCGTTATATTTGTAAAAATTTGTATTGTTCATTAAATTTCGCCATTTTGTAATAATTAATAAGATGAATGCCGGTCGGTGCATGCGGTTCAGCCGCCTGTACAGATTCGCGCGTCCACTGTCCATATAGCTGTTTCACTCCTCCATTCGACCGTTTAATGAGTGAGACAGCTATTGGACACAGCAGTATTATCTCTTGTAATGCTTTCTCTTTCGATCGTCCGACTTGCGCTAAGGATGCTAGATCGAAACGTCTCCCATAACATTTTCCCTTGTTGTTTGTTCCACCCCTCGCTTCAAGAGATACGTCAAAGACACGCTTCGTATATACTTATGCGTATGACGCTATTGGTTGTTTCATATGTATCCCTACTAGGGATTCCGGCGATGAGTATCATTAGTGTCGGTGCATGTGCACGACATGATAGCTCGACTGCCTGTATCCCGGACGAGCCCCCAATAATATGTAGGAATTGCAGGCCAAAAAACGAACACAATGTCTTTTGCAAACAATATAAATTTAATATGAAAATCACAAAACTGAAAGAAAATAAACGCTCGCAACTCGCAACTAATATGCTCACTGTCTTGTTGTTCGAACTTGGCTTTCGACTCTTACTGACTTTCGTCGCTTGTACGTGACAACGGTCTCTGGGTAAAATGCCGAAAACGCTTTTCGCTTCTATTTTGAAAAGAAACGCTATTGGCGATCGCGACGGCCGCTATCGTAAACAAGGGAAACAACATCATATAACAACATTATATAAGAAAAAAAATAAGAATATAACTCATTAGAAATATAAACCTCCCACAAGTATTATACAATATATATTTGGTTTATTAGGGAAAGGGTTTGATAGTAGATGAGCGTGGCTTAGTGTGTTCAAGACGTGAAGTTCTGCCAAACGGGTGTTGTAAAATAGAGCAAAAACAGATTGCAAAAAAAGAACAGGCATTGTCTGTGGTTAAGAGAGAAAGATACAGCTGTAAAACGTGCAATCCACAAGGATGCTGCATGATTTATGAATATTGCGTCTCCTGTTGTCTTCACCCTGACAAAGTAAATATTTATTATTGATTCTATAAATCTATTTTTCTTTTAATTGGATTTAAAATTCTTACAGTTGCAATTAAAATTTCTCTTAATAGCACTTAGAAATTTTTGTAGATATATTTGAAATATATCTAAAATATAGCTAGATCTAATGGAAAGTTACAATTATAATTATAAATTTGTTTCAGCAAATAAGAGGTCGGAAGAACATACTATTAGGATTCACAAAAGCGCAAAGAAACGAGGAGAAAACGCACATTCGCAATTCGGATCGCTTTCAGATTTGTCTAGCGATCTGTCGCACGTCAAGCTCCAGCGTGCAACACGAGAATATTTATAAGGATCCTCACGCAAAACACTGCTATACCTCAAATTCTCAGCGACACCAACGCAATATTAATTCATTAAATAATAACGGCGAGAATCCCGCCGTCATCGTTACTTTTTCTTTTGTGGTAGCATTATTTATCCATTTCTCTCCCGAAATCTCGTATCATTCGTTGAATGAATCCCATATACCCTGTTATGTTAACGTAATTTCTCCTAACTGTATGTTAACATTACATCATAATTTTGAAATACACATTGAGTAATTAAATTGTTAAACCTTTAAAAATGAGGATCGTAGTCCACGCACGAGCGAGGATTTAAAGCGCCATATATCCTCGTATGTCAAAGTTATACCTGGAAATTTTTTAGTTGCAAACTCCAAGACCTCTTTCTTGATAGGTTCCTGAGCCGAATTCGTCTATTGTAAGAAAAACATTTTATTAAATCTTTTTGTTACTCATTTGCAATCGCGGACTCGCGTGTCCTGCCAGTCGTCTGCATACCTCGACTACAGTGCACTCGGCCGCTGCGTAATGAGAAGAAATCGCCCGTCTTGAGTTCTTAGATTTATTCACTCCGGATCCGTGAATAAGCAATGGATGGAAAAACACTGTATCACCGACTTTCATCTCCAAATTGACCCAATTTTTCATCTCATTTGGCAAATCCTTAACAGAGAACATCAATTAAGAACGATGTACAAAGTTAATATTGATAGAAGCGGGAAATATTTTACCTGAATACCATGATAAAACTTGTTTATTGGCCCTTCTGTACTTGGAGGATAATCGTGATTAAGCACTTTTCCTATTCGATGTGTTCCGGGTGCTACGTATAGACATCCGTTTGTGCTATCGCAGGTTTCCATGGCCGTCCATACAGCCGCTATTCGGTCGATTGGACGCAATGGGAAGTAGTACATGTCTTGGTGCGGCGGATGCCTAGAAGAATACATTGCATTTTTAATTATATCAAATATGTGCTGCCAATAGCTTCAAAGTTTTTAACACAATTACCTCGAACTTCCATATCCGATGTCGGGCGGCTTCGCGATGAGCATACTGTGTATTGCTAGAATATTTGGTCCCGTGAAACATTCAATTACGTCAAGAATTTCTTTGTATTCAATGTATTCGCGGAACACCGGATCCTGCGCTATGTCTTGCAATTTATTAACCGATTTCTTGTCTTTCACATCATACATTACTGTAATACCCTCTCGTGAAACTCTATCTGCGACAATATCATCAAATCTGAAAAGCAAAGGACATCGAACTTATTCCGACTTTCATAGCTTTTTTCATGGATCTTTTGATTCCATCTTTGTCAAAGAAATCGAGATGCATCTTGCTGTTGAATTCGCGTAATCGATATCAAAGGAAGCTCATATTTGCAATTTACCGCGTATGCTGGCATTTCAAAGATATTCCGTATGAATGCCCAGCTATCAGTCATCTGTGATATCATAGCCGGTTGCAGTATTTGCACGTGCGCTAATAACAGTCAGCAAATTTATCGAAACATCGAGCTTCAGTAATATTATTAGATTACCGAACTATTCATCACGCATACCCATGAAGTTTGTTCTGATTAATGTCTTCATAGTATAATTACGAACATTTCCGCGTCTACGAAGCTTTTTAATTTCTACATCTACGCCATCGAATAAGTACATTATTTCACGTTTCCAACGCTTTCCGAAAAGATTAAAGAAAATCTATAATAATCTTTCTTCTATACACATATGCGTTTGTCGTATGATAAATTTGCTTCGTGATATAAAATTAATCGTCAGTAGACAGCTTGACACATTCAAAAGATGAGCTCGTAAATATTACCTTTTGCTACATTTGTCGAGTATATTTTGCGGTACGAAGTTAGGAAATACTATATATCCATTCTTCTCATAGAATATTCTTTGCTCCGTCGTAAGACGATTGTTATCCTTTGTATAGCGGAATGACATCGTCATCCAATTTTTAATATATTTCTTCAATGAATAACTTCTGTACATTAATGTTACGTCTGAAACATATAAAATTTACTGTGAAAACTTTTTTTACGAATTATTTGAAGCTTTTATTAATATTGAGTTTGACTTAGCAGAGTTGGAGATTCCAAAAATGTTCTAAATTTCATAAATTAACAAACTAGGCAAAAAAAAATCATAAAAATTAATCTTTGCCATTTTTCTAGTGAAAGATCTCACACTTCTGACATTTCTGACATGTGTTTCTGTTCTATTTAAAACCAATGTTACCGAGGTCGTTGCACAGATAGTTTCATAAGATCATCGCGCATATCAGCTGTCGCATTTACACAACAGTTAAAATTTCAGCGAATGCAAACGTCGCAAGAAAATACAATAATCCTGTTGCTCTTATTTCAAATTGTAATATATTTCTCTTTCATCCGCGCTCACAGATAAAAAGGTAACGAATTTTATTACTGATATATCATAATATCTGCTTTTGACTTTACTAAAAAGATGGAACCGATATTTACGAGACGGATTTATAAATGGGAGTTCGTAATGTTTATAGATGAATTTAAAAGGGCAATAGTAGGGAAGCGAAATAGTAGGGGCGAAAGTTACGATCAACGGTGAATGATAGTGTGCCTATGATGCCATGCGATTTTGCAGCGTGTCGATCTCGCACTCGACTCTATTCCACGTGCTTATACCTGTCGAAACAGATTACGCGCTGTCGAATTCCTCTTGACATTTCTAGATGTATGTTGATACGATAATCCAATAACCGGCGGATTAATCCTTTACACTCCATATAGTGCTAATGGTGACGAGTAATTATCGGTTTGCGCGAATTGCATGCTTCTCGCTTGAAAACTACAATAATGTGAAACATTAACAGACGAGCAACGATCCTTTGAGCGAAAGGTAACAATGATAAATTAAAAAGAAACTGTATTAATAAATTACTTATGATATCATTATTTTAAAATAATAGCGATCAACGTATCGTTGGAAAACGAGAAACATAATGTGTGACATTTTACAGAAAAAAAATAGAATTAATTGTTTTAAATTAAAATTCGCACTGATTTGTTCTCATTTTGACGGGTCATCTGTTGATTCAAGAGTGATCACGATCTTTGCACGATGCCCAGCGCCCCGCAAGAGTTGATTGCGCGCGTCGATGAAGGCATCGCGATGCGCCGACGTGGTTGCTCGCACCCGTTCTCTCTCTCTCGCTCTCTTGCACCTCGACTTCAGCACGTGGCATCAAAGAAAAGGATATACATCGGGGTGGTCGGTCTTCCCGGCCAAACGACGACGACCCTCACTCGTCGTTGTTCATTCGCGCGCGCGGATTCGAGAGTTCACTCCGCGAAATGATAGCATCTCGATAGCGTCCGCGAGCGTACATCGAAATATTTTGCAGCGTGTTCGAATTATCTTTCGGCGCAGTTTTGCAGCAGTACTTCGGAGTGATTTAACATTGCCAAATTCGAAAAAATCTGCATCGCTTTCTTCTAGATCTTTGGTCGCTCGCCGGAGAAACACAAAGAATGAACATGAAAATCGGCAATTTTTGACTTTATTTCCAGGAAGATTTCGAGATGGATATATCACTGAGTAAGTTAAATCTTTCTATTTTGTCAAAAGCTACAGATTTTTCTTACAGAATTTTTTTAACTCATTGTCAGTGTGTAACTACGATTTATTATCATATATTAAATTTGTGGAAAGAAAATAATGAGCGACATTAACGTAAGTTTGATTCTGTAATTCGATACGAGTTCATTCTGTAAATAAATATTTGGTTTCGAAAATCTCGATAAAATCAAAACATTGGATCAAATTTATCACTTTGAAAACAAACAACTTGTACGATCGTCTCGACGAGAGAATATTTTTATTTGCTTTTTTTAATCCGGCCATCCATTAACTTGACGGTCCATCTCGCAAAAATCTAAGTGATGCGATAAAAAAGCGCGAAATATATACGTATTAAATCGTCGCTTCTATGCTCGCCTCGAAGATGTATTTTTAGCGAAAGCCCAATGGCATTACATAGATCTCGGGATACGCGTTACTGTAGATAATAAACTTCACCCATATAATAGCGCGTTACAAAACCTAAAAAAAATTATGATTGATCGGTCCGATCCCGATAAAGCTGATCGCGATAAAACACTATTATGCAATTTTGATTCGTCGAAGCGTGTCTTGCACCATTCGCGTCTTTCAGCGCGTCCGTCTTCGACGGTTAATAAAAATTTCATTCACCGAGAACCGGCGGAGAAAATGTCTTTTACGGAAATAAAAGCTCCCTCGACAAATTCACTCGGCGCGACGGGATGATTAATTCTTAAATCTGTTCGGCGAAAGTTTCCCCAAGAGAGGGGTGGAAGATCGTCGGCTAGCATCCCCCGCGTCCCGTCGCGTATCAGCAACCGTGAGAATAGAAACGAGTTTACGGAGGCAGGCAGACAAAATCGATATACATCGCGTTAATAATGAAACGGCAAGGTCTACAACCTTTTGCGAGCGAGTCGGAATCGACCTTTCGCGGGGGATATAAAGACACTTCTGTCACTCTCTCTTTCTCTCTTTTTACACGCGTGACATTTCCGCGGACGCGACCAGCCGCGTCCGACCGCGACCGTGTGCGAGCCCTTTGTTTACGCCGTGTGTGCAATTTTTTTTCCCGCGCGGTTTGCATCTCCGCGCAACCGTGCGTGTGAATGTTTTAATTCCGTCTGCTCTGTGCAATCGCGTGACGATTCATCCGACCTCGGTGGAAAATGTCACGAATCGGGATAAATGTCGGATCGTATGCGCGGACGCGTAATATGTTGCGTCTCATATCTGGAACTTTTTACGGATGTAAAGGATGTATGGAAGGATTAATATCGCGCGACACTTACACGCGACGATCAATCGCGTGGTTTATAGAGCAGATCTTTTGCCGATGTAATTAAACGATACCTCCGGTCGATCGCATCACGCTTTGCATACCAAATGTTCTTACAATACATGTTGTGCAAGTTATTAAGACAACAAGTGATGCATTTCCAGCGTTTCTCATTAACTCGGGGAAAATATATTTTCCATTCACCGCGGAGATAAAAAATTTTCCTTGCTACATAAATTTACGATTTAGTTCGGCATTTAATTTATTTACATTATTACGATACTTTCAGTCCGATTCGCTTATAATCTGTATGACTTTTCAAGCGCGTTTTGCGAAATGCGCACTCTGCATAACGCAACTATGTTATGTACAAAAATACGAAAGAATAATTAATAAATATGAATTTGTATTGCAACATTTTGCATCGTTTTTTCAAGTATATCTATAAAACATATTCGTTATAATTTTTAATTTGTCTTGAATATTTTATGTCGTATTGATCAATTCTGAAAATGCTTGCGAGTCATGCTTTGGTGTTTTACAGGGTGTTCTATGGGAAGTTGCTGAAACTAATTAGTTATTATTTTTAAACACACATAGACAGCAAGAAAAATAGAATATTTTCTAGCAGAGGACATTTTGCAGTTTTATTTACATATAAACTAAAAACAATCGGAGATATTTTTATTATTAAATAAGCGTTTATAGAAAAATGCCAAATTTTGCTCATTTTAATGGTTTACATTATCGAAGTGCGAATCGTCAGAATTATAACAAAAAAATTAGGCCACTTTTGGAAACTATAAAAAACTTTATGCAACAAAAGTTACAGTTACAGTTATAATTTTCGAAATCGACTTAATTTTTATTATAATTCTGACGGTGCGCGCGTCAAAAATATATATCATTAAAATGAGCGATATTTAGCATTTTTTAATAAACGTTTATTTAATGGTAAAAATATTATCTTTAGTTAATACATATGTAAAACTGCAAAATGTATGCTGTTAGAAGATATTTTATTTTTCTTGCTTTCTATGTGTGTTTAAAAATAACAGGTTAACATTAATTAGTTTCAACAATTTCCAATGGGACATCCTGTATCAATGCAAAATATTATATAATCTACAAGACTTGTGTAAAAATGTGTTTTGCTTGTTTAAATTAGATAAAAAATAGGATAAATCGAGATTTTGATTCTCATTAAATTAGCTCATGCTCAATTAGCTCAATTAAAAGTATTTGTTTTGATGACAACTCTCGGTAACATTATATTCGCTATACATTCAAAAGGAATTAGTGTGTTCGCTGGTGGCATAAAGCGTGTTGTACTTTCTATGCAGCAAACGAACGATAATCTCAAAACGTTTTCGAGAAACAAACTGAAATACATGCTATTTAGAGTAATCAGGAATTATATACAAAGCTCAAATTACAATAATAATTGCAATTCAGTCCTCAGTAACATTATATTCGTTATACATTCGAAAGGAATTAGTATATTCGCTGGTAACATAAAGCGTGTTATACATATATACTTCCTATGCAACAAATAAACGATAATCTCAAAACGCTTCCAAGAAACAAACTGAAATACACGCTATTTAGAGCAATCAGGAATTATGTACACAGCTGGAATTACAATTGTAATTGCAATTAAATCGGAAATTCAAATAGTTTTGATTTGTGAAATATTATCCTGCGCTGCACGTAAGAGATTAAAGAGCCGAATGATTAAATTTCGAGCGCGGATTATACGAAAGAATACACCGTTCTCTCCATCTCTTCAAAACTCATTACAAATAGATTCGCTCTCTCATATCATTTGTCTCGTATTAGTGCCGACGTATTCACGTGATCCACAATCGCGCGACTTTAAGCTCGTGGAAAGGGTTTAATTAGTTTGGAAAGCGGTATTGCAAGGTTGTCGCGCAGTGTTTCCGCTTAGGAAGGCCAACGCGGTGCAGCTGAGCGAGGCGCGGAGAGGGACGAGAGACAGCATTCCACTTGGCCGAGATGCAGGACGGACTACTTGGCTAGACTCTCAGGCACCTTCGCTTGATAAAGGAACGATGCCCGGCTAGACGCGCTGTCGCGCCAAGACGCGCGTAAAAAGCTCCGCTATTCGTTTTGTTCGGAAAAACGGAGACGTTTCCTCCTTTGTAACTCGCGCCGAAAATTATCGTTCCAATGCGTTGTTAATGAAAAATGCGATTAGTTTTTCACGGTGATCTTTCTCCCGAACGAAAATAGATAAATTTCGATTTGTATGCAAAAATGCGCGATCGCGTAACATTTCATATTTTGATAAAACTCGTTCGTAAATTCGGGTGTGTTTGCGCGACATCCATTTCGCCGGAATATATTAAAGCATACTTTTCCTGTTCGCGAACCGCGCATTTAATTACACTTCTAAGCGCGCGCATCGTCGACTATTACTTGTTCCGCGATTTCACGCAAGACGCAAAAATGCCTTGTTTCTTTTCCCGATGCAAAAGTGCAATGCGATTCTCTTTCTCTTTTCACAAAAGCACATTCAATCTTCATATCTTGAATCGCTCCACTCTCGCATTGTGCTAGCGGAAATTTTTAGCGGGAATCTTTGTCGTATCGGATTTTTGCCGCTACGGCTGGGTGTACTTTGGCCGATATAAATTCTCTCTTCTCCTTTGATCATCGCAATCGCCGACAAGATGGAAATATCGCGAATAAAACATTACGTCGCTTAATAAATGCGCTTGAATGTTAATATTGCAACGCGGCTTGTATTCCTACATTACGGAATGTTCATTGCACAAAATAGTTCTCGCAATATTAAATCATTTGAAAATATGCATTACGCGTATCTTTCAGCATCTGTCTTATTCTTACGCATCCTTTCAATCTCGCTCGCATCACGATACTCAAACACAGCCGGCTCCAACTACGAGTTCAACACTTTTAGATTTGTTTTGCTCGCGGCTTCATCAAATTGGCGATGTATTAAAGAAGAGTTGCAGATGTACCGGATCTCAGAGATATCGGATGATCAGTAGTAGTAATAATTTTGCAGTTGTTGATAGATGCAAGAGGAGAGCCAATCGCTAATTTAGTATCAATAAATAGAAATTAATAGAGAAGGCGGTGCAAAGAAGCGCGGAGCGCAATAGCTATTGTTAATTAATATATAAAAACCGGTTACAAATTCGAATCTTCATTAGTTTGATAAAATACAAGAGAGGGAAAGAAAGTTTTACATAGACAATATTCTCTTTATTGCCTTTTGTTTAAGTTTACTTTGAAACACCGTACTTTTCTGTTTTAATAAATGGATTGCGCGTGGCGCTTGTTTTATTTACAACGCGCAAAATCATATAACAATTATTCTACCATCAAGATATCATCAAGGAGATAAGATTTTATCCGCCCGCACAATATACTTAGAAATTATTGAAATATTAACGACGGGGAAAGATTGCGTGTCCAGGCACCGTCGGACTTCTGCTTCATGGGCCAAGGTTGCCCGTGTATTTTTCCCGGATGACCGACGTTTTCGAAGCAGTTTCCTCTGCACATTTCACAGAACACATGTGAGAGTTTGTTCCACAAACACTTGCGCGAGCAGTTCGACAAATAACCCGCGCACTGACTCACGCCACGGTTGGATCCCTCAGCTTTAAGCCGCAGCGTCGAATTTATCCACGGTGAAATTTCATTTCGTGATTCAAACCGCAAAGAT